GCATAGTATATCTGACCAGCCCATGGCGCGGCATGCCAGGCAACAACGCCATGCCGCCACAAGTCGGCGGCACGCTGTCCAGAGGCCCGAACACTCCACATCTCGCGGGCGCAGTTGCCTGCGCCGAAGTCGGTATACTCTGTGATGCCACCTGGAAACCAGGGCCAAACTGCACTTGGAACGAACCTCTCCAGTTGAGATCCCCCATGAAGAATATTGGATGGCCATCAACACCCAGAGCTTGAATGTAATTGGCCATCGCCGCAATCCACTCCATGTTGTACTGTTGTGGGGCGTATATCGAAAGGTAGGTAGCTCGTTCCGTGCGTCATCCCACCAGACGACGCCCCAAACTTTGGTTGCGCATTACCGATGTCATCCCCGACCTCGGCCGCCAGAAGATGGCAGCACCCCCGTGCCCAACATAATGTTGTCCTGCACGAGGTGGTGGTGGTGAACATGCTGCTGCCCAGCCCGCTTTGTTCGCCTCCTGGATGATCCACCCCGGCTTCTCACACGTGTGACGAATTTCTTGCATTGCAATAACTTCTGCCCCATCATCGCGTTGAACTGCAGCCAGTACTTCAAGAAGACGGGCCTTTGTCAACGACGTCACGCTGATTGTATACACCTTAGATGTCTGTGAAATCAACCGATCTGACTGCGCATCTGACTCTTCCTCCACGCCTGGCGGAAATTGAAGCCCCCAGGAGTCATCAGAATCTCCAGGGTCACCTCCACCCACCAGGGGATCAGAGCGACGCGTCGTCTTCTGCCGTTGAGGGCTCGAGGCGCGGACTTGCACCTCCATTCCCGCGGCAGGAGGCCACGCCCCCCCCCGTCATAGACGGCGTTGAACGGCTCGGCGCTGCTGTGAAACTCTCTACAGAAGATGCGAGACTTCCCGCAGAAGTAGTGAAACTTTCGACAGAAGAAAAACCATGAACACCTCCTCCAGCACCAGAGCACATATTGGGCGCTGATCTCGGCATGGTGAAACTTTCTACCGAAACTTGACCTCTCAGAAGTTCTCTATCGAGTCAATGTGCACGCACTTTATAGAAGGGGAGCCTTGCTGACGGCTTCCGCAACGTACGCTGCCTCCTGCCGTTGAACCACCTCCTCCACGATAGACTCTGAGGGTTCCTGCCCTTCCACAGTATGCGATAAACCTGCTTCGTAGTCATTGGAGCGGGTCTGCACGCTTGCGTCTTGAACTTAGCCAAAACGTTGCTGGCCCCACGCCGACTGCACATGTAGGAGGTGATGAGCTGGCGCTTTTCTTGCTTCGCAAACCCGCTGGCCCGAGTAGGGGCACGCGCCACCGTCTCCATCTGTGGGGCGAGGGTAGTGCGCCAGGTCTCGTACCGAGCCCACGCCTTCCCCCTGCCTTTGACGGTCTTAGCAGGGTTCGCCACCAGCTTGATATGCATGCCGAAGGCAGTTTTGGACTTGCGTGGAGGCAATTCACCACGACAGTGTCGCCAATGAACGTTCGCCTGCTGCTCTCGAGTACAAGCCCCCACCGCGTCAGGCATCCAACCACACTTCGGGCACTTCAGATGCGCCGCCGTCGTGTGATCCGGCACTTCAGGATGCCCTATGAGTTCAGCAACTGAGTCGTCGATCTCTTCATCTACCCCAAACTAACCCTTGGCTTCTTCGATCGAATTCTTCTTATTCGCCGAAGTCTTTCTTGATGCAGACGCCCTCCTGGAAGCTGGTGAAGCCCCAAACAACGACCTGGCTTTCCTGACCGCAGAAGAACATGGCGGCGCAGATGCTTCCGAGGCCACTCCGAAGAGGCTCCTCGCGTCACGTTCTGTCATCTTCTGGGAGCTCGACGCTAGGGCCGACATTGTCGCCCTCTTCGCTGGCGTAGCAGAGCTCGAAGCTGGGGCCGACATGTTCGCCCCCTTCGCTGGCGTTGAGCTCGAAGACTTTCCGTCGCCAGAGAAGATATCTGGATATGGTAGAGCACATTCACGCCACTGCTTCTCAATACTCTCTGCGAAAACGCCCCTCTTCGGCACCAGCAGGGTGTAGTGCTTATCTTTGAGGGCCAACCGAACTTTCTTCTTATATGACTTGGGTGATGTGTCGAGTACCCAGCTCCTGTCTCAGTATCTCCATTGTACTTCCAGATCCCCACATCTGCCTTGAGCGCCGTCGCTGTCGCCCGCGCACACATAGCACCCGCCATCTTGCCCGTCGTGCCGATCCTGTCCAGATCCGCAATCGTAGCACCATACTGTCGCATATGTGCCTTCAGCTCCGCCACGACCAGTAGTCGCAATCCTCGCTGTACTTTGCCTCCTGGAGCCTTGTCCGCTGCAGCGAGCGTCTTCGGCTTTGCCTGAATGTCGTTGAACCCGACCCCGCACGCGATGAAGTAACAGTCGCCTTCGCCTCCGAGGTCACGCTGCTCCATGTAGTTCTGCCATGGCGCCACTGCTGGCGCCCTTGGCTGCTTTGCCTTTGGTTCACCTCCTCCTTCTGCTGGTCGTCTTTGTCCGCCCTCAGCTGGTGGTGTCGGTGTCTCCTCATCTCCCGCAGCTGCAACGTTATCACTTGCTGCAGGCTGTGTTGGAACTTCGTCTTCTCGTTCAGGTTGCTGCCATTGTGGTTGCGCAACACCCCAAACTGACTGTGCTTCTGTGCCTTTCTTTCGTTCACGATTCGGTCCATTGGCCAGATTCACAATCGCACCCGATGAGAAGGTATACGGTTGATCACGATGTGCTCGTGCCGCCGCAAGGTCGCCACGGAAAAACCATGTCCGCTTCCCTGTCCGCGTCACTGCAGAAACGTTCAAGAACCCTCTCTCTCTGTGTAGCCCATAGCGTAATACCCTCTGGCTCTGTCCAGTGAGCGGGTGCTCGCTGGAGGTACCACCGTGGCAGAAGATCTTGACTATCAATAGCTTTGTCACTCAGCACCCCAAGCGGGGCGTCAGCACTTGGTCGATATATCATGCGGCCTGGAACTTGGCCTCTTACAACATCCACTCGCGCCCAGTACTCGGTGTCAGTCTCCTCCTACCGACATTTGAACCACCTCGGCATGAGCGAACTTTTCTGGCAATTCACAAAGATGCCCTTGGGCAATTCAAAATCCAATATCGAGGCCACTCCCGTAATCTTCACAATCAATAGCATCGTGATCTCTGACACGTAGTTGCTGGCCCTTCTCGTACGCATGAAATTGTTGGTAAGCTCGGCATTCAGAATCATGCCTAGCAACGCGGCCGGCTTCAGTGCAGCTCGTGCATATATGTCGTCCTCGCAGAAGGCCTTCGCGCAGGTCATCATCAGGACTGTCGTCGCTGTTGGTACCTTTGCCTCCTCCGTTGCTTTATCATCATGAACTCCTGTCGGCAGTCCTGCTCGGCGTGGTGCCTGCGGTCCAACTTCCAAGAGCAAACACAGCAGTGGTTCGGAGCCCGCGTCAGTGACTACAAAGATATCCTCTTGCTTGACCCCTTCAGCTAGGGCCACCTCTGAAGCTTCTACCAGAATAAACGTGGCCGACTGTCCACACGTCGCGGCCAGCCACTGTCTTGCCGATCTGAAGTCCTGCAATGTCATACACACAACCACAGGCGGCTTCTCATAGATCCTGTCTCCCAAAGACTGCGCTGACCAAATGGTTGCCCCATCCCACTCAGACTGCACCCGTCTAGGCATTGCCTTCTTCGGCGGTTTCGGTGTCTTCGGCGGTGCTGAGGACCCTGGCGATGACGATGTTGATTCAGCAGCAACACGCAGTACTCGTAGCTGTGCCAAAACCTGCTTCTCTGTCGGTATATACCCAGCTTTGTCGATCTTCCCCAGAAATCGGCGTATCTTCTTGAGAACAAGTGGTTCCTTGTTCTTCTGCCGTTGAGGGCTCGAGGTGCGAACTTGCACCTCCATTCCCGCGGCAGAAGACAGCACTCCCTTCGCCTTTGCAGCAGCACAATGGCGGTTGACTGTCTCCGTGAGTTGAGATATCTGATTTGCCATCGTGTCAACCTGGCGTCCCCGACCACGCTGAGCACGTTGACCCCCTCTGCCTCCTTTGGCTCCCCCGCCAATGAGTGGATCTGCTTGGTGCAAAACTTCGGCAGCTGGCTTAGCCGCCTCATGAAAGACGAAGGGGAGCTCCTCGCACTGGATGTCGAAGATCTCCACCTCATCCCAACTGATTTGATTCACCGACTCGGTGTGCATGCCGCTGCACTCTGCCTCAGCTCGGGGAGCCGGCCCGACACCGCCACGTCGGAGGCGTGCAACTGTGGTGTCCACATTCACATCCGCCAGCTCCGCTCGGCGAGTCCGAAGGGTGTGGTTTGCAGAGGGTGTGGTTCGCAACCCGGGCCTGAGGGGGCGGGCGAGGACCTCGACAGAGACCTCTGCCACGCCCCGACGACGGCTCACCAAACCTCTGGTGCCACGTGGTGACCGCTCAGCCCCGACGGCGCCGATGACAAGCCACACCCTGGCGTGCACCAGGTTCGCGCGGCGTCGGCGTGCGCAAAGGCTTTTGACACCGCGTCGATCGTTCAACCTTGAACCGATCGCGGCCCCGATCGTTCAAGGTTGAATCACGTCGGGTCCCGTGGCGTTATCGTGTCCCTCGGTGACTCCACGTACTTCGATCACGCGAAATTCAAAATATTGAACGCCTTCGCCGGCGTCGCCAGCACACTATCGCTGCATGAACCTATTGAGCAGGGACCGACCAGCCCGGCATTCCTATAGCCCTACCACGAAATGTTCTTAGAACCCAAAACTGTTCTAAGACCAAAGACCATGTGCTTAGAACATGAGTCCGATGCGTTAGAACAAGACGGTCCCAACCAGAACTGCTTCGTGCAAACCACAAAAGGCTCTTGGAACATTCTCTGGCAGGCCTCGTAGGCGAGCCAGGACGCGTCGCCACTGCTTGAGCCTACCGCAACCACACCCACTGTAGTCGACGATCCGACTTCCCCCCGCCCCCCCCCCTGGGGCAGCGGCCTGATCTCAAAGCCCTCGTTGGTGCCGCTCGCGCCCTTGCCGCCCTTGCCGCCGCCCTTGCCGCCGCCTGCGGGCGGGCGGCAGGACCGCGAGGAGAAGCATGAGACCACAGGGCGAGGCAGGGCTCGAGCGAAGGAGTGCTGTTCGTTTTCGTGTTGGCTTCGTTCTCGCTCGCTGGTTCTTCGTTCTGCCTCTGCTGCGAGACGAGAAAGTAAAACCAAGATGGCCCACGAAATCGCCAAGCACCGTTTAGCTCGAACCCTGGGACAAGGAGAAGAAGTGAGAGGAAGGAGGGGGACGACGAGGACAAGGACGAGGATGAGAAGAACAAGGAGGAATCCTACGACGATCATGACAAGGACGAGGAGCCGAGTGGAGTCGGTCTCACGGGCGCTGTCTCGGTAAGGGCCGACTCGCGAAAGCAGCAGCACCCGAGAACGCGGCATGGGACTCCGATCGAACTGCGCAACAAGCCCCGTGCGGGCGATGGCCCGGAAAGCTCGCAGAACTGGGCAGGCATGATCGAGCGAGCCAGCTGGTCCGCGTGGCCCCGGTTCTCCGAGGAAACCCGGCCGTCGGACCGAGCTGCCCCAGAGGCGGTCCCAGACAGGGACCGCGCGCGACTCCCAGACCCCCTCGAGTAATGAAAAAATCATGACGGGATGTTTTTCCTAACTTTCGGCCTCTGGGGGCCCTCACCGGGCCTCGGGAGCGTCAAAAAACGACTCAGGATGCACAGCCGGTCATGGGGAAAGGGTCCAGACCTCTGGGGGTCGACGTAGTGAAAAAATCATTACGTCGGGGGTCTGGGCTCAGAGGCAAAGCCGGGCCAACCGGGACAACGGGGGCCAACGGGGGCCACCTAGGGCAGGCTGGACAGCTGCGGCCGGTCGGGAACGAGGCGCGCGGCGGGGGCAGGCCGCTGCCTCCGCGCCCAGAGCTTGCAGCGAGCGGCGGGCGCAGGTCCCTACTCCTGCGCCCAAGCAATGAGCGGTGGGTGCAAGTCTGGCCGTTCGTGCCCAGAGCCACCAACGAACGGTGGAAAACGGCCACTAATCACTCTCCGCTCGTGCAAAAATAGAATCGGTGAAGCTAGGTCTCGGCTGAGCTAGATCGGGAGTTTAGGTGCCCGACTTCCGCAATTCCGAAAACTAGATCGGCCCGCTTACACTCTCATTTCCAAAATCATACTTCCATCTGAAACTGGTTTCCCTTCACCCCAACATACGCGTGCATCTGGTAGTGTGGCGGTCAGCTCGGCTGCGCTGACTTTGCTCCGATTGGGGTCCATACATACGGGATCATTCTAGCGTGAGTCTGCACGGTCAGCCCAAGTCACTCCGGGCTCCAGATCAATCCAAGGTCAGTCTGGGATCAGCCGACTGAACACGGACTGACCCCGGACTGACCCCGGACTGACCCCGGACTGGCCCGGGACTGCTCCTGGACTGACTCCCGACTGACCCCAGACTGACCACGGACTGACCCTGGACTGAGCCCGGACTGAGCCCGGACGGGCCCTGGACAGGCCCCGGACAGGCACTGACTGACCCCGGACTGACCCCGGACGGTGACATATACTTAATATTCAGGCCCTGGCTCGGTAAATCTACTCTCGGTAAAAATAGATCTCGGCTAGACTAGGTCGGTATCTGATATCTATTTTAAACGAGTGGAGTGTACTTCCATGCCCAGAACCATCATCGAACGGCGGGGGCGAACCACCACTTCCGCGCCCGGGACTGGCGGAGAGCGGCAGGTGCACGTAGGTCACGATTTCCGACCCCAGAAAGCCATAATTCCCGAGCCTCCTGGCCATGAAGAGGGAGCTTGGAAACAGGGTTTATTCCAACATTGTTGATGAGTCTCGGGCTTACACTGGTCCTCCTCCTCCTCCTCCTCCTCCTCCTCCTCCTCCTCCTCCTCCTCCTCCTCCTCCTCCTCCTCCTCCGTGGCGGAGGTGGGGGTGCACGGCGGGGGCGCGCGCCTGAGCTCTGCGCCGCCGCCCGCTCCTCCGCATAGGACCGCTGCCCCACCAGCAGCGCCCTCGGGCTGCCGTGCCCGGGGAGGGGGGGGGGGAGTGCCCCGGGAAGCAGGGCGGCCGCCGGGGAGGCATAGCTGCCGGCGCCCCAGGGAAGCGCTCCGAAGGTGGCGGCTCCTCCTCCTCCTCCTCCTCCTCCTCCTCCTCCTCCTCCTCCTCCTCCGCCTCCTCCTCCTCCGCCTCCTCCTCCTCCTCCGCCTCCTCCTCCTCCTCCTCCTCCTCCTCCTCCTCCTCCTCCTCACCGGGCGCCCTGGAAAGCGCTCGGGAGGTGGCTGCGGGCGGAGGGGGAGAGCCGCCGACAGACCCAGCGGCGAGAACGGATGGGGGAAGGGGGGGGGCAGATGAGAGGACTCTTCCCTTACCACCTTGCTGCTTCCTGCGCCCCCTGGGGGGTCGAGGCCAGGTCCAGCAGCTGGAGCTCGCTGAGAGCTTCAGTACGGCGGAGTGCATGCCCCGATC